GATTGCTGTGAGTTATGATGACACCACAGCACCCAACCCCAAGGCCATGGAGTGAGACTCTATCTCAGAAATGAATAAATGAATAAATAAATAAAGAAATGTGCCAAGAGAAAAGGAAACCAATTATTATTTAATAAAAAAATAATGTAAACTCTGCTTGGCATCTATAGCTCAGTGGTTAGGGCACCAGCCACATACACTGAAGTAGGCTGCTTAGAACCCAGCCCGGGCCTGCCAAACAACGACGACAACAACAAAGCCAGGTGTTGTGCTGGGTGCCTGTAGTCCCAGCTACTTGGGAGGCTGAGGCAAGAGATTCACTTAAGCCCAAGAGTTGGAGGTTGCTGTGAGCTGTGATTACATATCACTCTACTGAGGGCGACATAGTGAGACTCTGTTCCAAAAAAAGTGAACTCAAATAATGTTCATAATAAAAGAGACAATAAATGTTTGAACAAATGTATAAATATCTCATAATTATTTTTATAAGTGTAAACACCTGTTAAAGAAACATTCCTGAGAGAGCATCTGGAGTAAAATGACCAGCCCTTGAATGACCAGCCCTTGTTGGTCATTTTCTTCCTTGTTGCTTTCTACTGCCATGCCACAACCCATCATTCAAAAAGGTATTGACACCAAAATAAGTAGTAAGTAAGTACTCCACATACAAGTAAAACTTCTGTACTTTTACTTATAAAGTATTAACATCAAAAGAAAATGAATGTTACCTAAGAGCTGAAAGAAGGGCTGGGCGTTGTGACGCATGCCTGTAATCCTAGCATCCTGTGAGGGTGAGGTAGGTGGACTGCCTGAGCTCAGGAGTTTGAGACCAGCCTGAGCAAGAGTGAGACCCCATTTCTAAAAATAGCCAGGTGTTGTGGTAGGCACCTGTAGTCCCCCCTACTTGGGAGGCTGAGGCGAGAGGATCTCTTGAGCCTAAGAGTTTGGAGGTTGCTGAGAACTGTGACACCATGGCACTCAATTGAGGGTGACAAAGTGAGATTTTGTCTCTAAAAAGAAAAAAAAAATTGAAAGAATACTTAATTCTATTTGACTATCAGCCAAATAACATTTTTCTTCAAAAAGGAATTTTTTATACTCATGCCTAGATAGAAAATGAAATACGGTAGAGGCTCTGTGAGTTGACCATGCAAGGGACTGTAACAGATTGGTCAACACAAGGAACTAGGCCTGCTGTGCTGACACATACCTGTGGTACATGTCTGATCTATGAAAATTAGGTCAACTTAAGGAGGTGGCCAATGTAGGGCAGTGGTCAACTATAGATGTTCTACTATATTTAGATTTTTTAAAAAGTAGCTATCACTTAGAACCAAATGTTTATTTAAATAAACCAGTTTGGAATATTCTATTGATTCAAAAGAAAAGCTACGATTATAGGCCAAATAAAAAAGAAAGCAGATTACTACAACTGAACACTATACCCAAGAGAATATGAGGAAGAACAATGATGAAGGAAAGCTAACTGCTATAAAAAAGTAAAAATATTCAAAGACCATATGATTTTAATAAAGAAAAAATATCTATTGTGGCCTTTTCTTTCCAATGTGATTTCTTAGTGTCTTATATAAGTTAACTGTTGGTATTAAGTATTTTAAACAGACTATATATTTGTAGTTTCTTGTAACAAAAAATGAGTTTTAGCTTTTTATTATTACCAGATGCCACATATAATTATTTTAATAATTCCTTAATATGGAAATGTGACATGTAGACCTTCACCATTACAAAATTTATCTGTCAAGGAAGTAATCAATAAATATGTTTGACAGCTGGGAGTGGTGGCTCACTCCTGTAATCCTAGCACTCTGGGAGGCCCAGGCAGGGGAACTGCTTGAGCTCACGAGTTCAAGACCTGCTTAGTGAGACCCCATCTCTACTAAAAATAGAAGAACTGAGGCAAGAGGATGGTGTGAGCCATAATTGGAGATTGCTGTGAGCTGTGATACCACAGCACTCTCTCCAGGGTGACAGTTTGAGACTCTGTCTCAATAAAAATAAATAAATAAATAAATAAATATGTCTGGGACCAGGTTCAGTAGCTCACACCTGTAATCCTAGCACTTTGGGAGGCCAAGGTGGGAGGATCATATGAGTGCAGGAGTGTGAGATAGTCTGAGCAACATCAAGATCCTGCCTCTACAAAAAAATAGAAAAATTAACTGGGCATGATGAGCTTTCCCTACTTGGGAGTTTGAGGCAGGAAGTTTTGGAGCCCAGGAATTTGCAGTTGCAATGAGCTATGATGACACCACTGTATTTCTAGCCCAGGAGACAGAGCAAAACCCAGCCTCAAAAAAAAAAAAAAAGTTTTTAAATTAAATTAGAATAAATTAAAATAAAAATAATATGCCTGGTATGTATTACCTGAAAATTCTATACTACTTTATTTATTTAGTTAGTTTTTGGAGACAGAGTCTCACTATGTCACCCTTGGTGGAGTGCCATAACATCACAGCTCACAGCAACCTCAAACTTTTGGGCTTAAGCGATTCTCTTGCCTCAGCCTCCCAAGGACTACAGGTGCCTGCCACAATGCCTGGCTATTTTTTTTGGTTGTAGTTGTCCTTGTTGTTTGGCAGGCCCCGGGCTGGATTCGAACCTGACTGCTCTGGTATGTGTGGCTGGCGCCCTAGCCACTGAGCTATAGGTGCTAAGCCGTCTATACCACTTTAGAAGGAGATTCTTTGCTTGCTTTTACCATGATGCTCTTCCCAAATAATCAGTACTACATAAATTAGCTACAGTTTTTCATTATTCTGGGAAACAAATGTCAGAGAAAGTGATAATAGTTGTAACATTAGGTTGAGGGGGAAAAGTGATGGACTGACTTCTTGTTCATTATGTTAAAGTATACTAAGTCTTACTCTTGTTGTTAATTGTAGTCTGACTTGGGAAAAATGTGGTAATAGTGTTTCCCACAGCCTTGAGCCTAAATATTATTTCTTAGCTATCATTTCATTTGTTGCCACTTTCTGAATCCTGTTTTCCTTCAATTAGTATAGAATTACTAGTACATTGGACATTATTGAAAAAGTAAGAGTCACAAATGGAAATTTTCTCTCTAATCTCCTTCTAGGAATGTATCTACAATAATGAGAACTTGGATAAGAAAGGAAAAGTTCTGGTCAGTGGAATTTTGTTAATTGAGAGAAAATATTTTATAATACCTTTTGTTAGCTCCTTTCCCTCCTAAAATTTTAAACTTTGGAGCCTTAAGTTGTAGTAAAAGAGGTGCCACACAAATCAATGATCAATGTCCTTGTATGTTGATGTGCTTATTGCAAGTGGAATACTAGGATAAACTTTAACTAAATTACTTATGTATTTTCTTATTACGTGGTTCTTTCAATGAATGTATTAAAGTTCTGAATAATTAATATAATTAGTTGGGCTCTGATTAATAAGTATATCTGGGATTCACGTACACATCTTTTATATGTGCAGATATTCTTATAGTAACTAGTTTTAATTGTTTCAAATGTGGTAATTGTAATCAGCTTTTATTATACCTCATGTAAAAGAACTGTGTGTCTGAGAGTGATTCACACCCTGGATTTGTACCCTGGATCTCATTATTTCTCTTTTTTTATCCTTCAAAGAGAATAGCAGCCTCAGTATTTGCATGTGTTTATAAAAAAGGAAAATGGGTGATAAAAAAGGTATATCTAAAAGCTTTGCCTCCTGATAGCATTCTGGACTGAAATTTCCTTTTCCCATCACTGACTGTAATACGACTGAAAAATATTAAACTGCTTTTGTGATGAATTTAGGAATTTCAATTAGCTACAGATTTCTAATGGGGAGAATGGGGTTTAAAAAATTGGGTTGTACAGAAACATAAGGCAGAAGTCTACTATTAATAAAATAGAACACTTGAGCACCATAATACTCAGCTCAGTCAAATGAAGTATTTAGAATAAATTACAAAGTCTGCTTAGTACTCCCACCCACATAATAATTGTTTTTTAAAAGAATAATTATCAGTAACTTTTGAATAGTTGACCATACTAAAATTAGCAAGTGACTTCAAAGATTTTTACTAGAATCTAGGTCTGATTTTATAAGTCAAGTGAAAAGATCTCTAGAAAAAATCTTTCACTGGCACCTTTATGAATGGTTACTTTTTAAAATTCCTACTAGTATCACTTGTATTTTTTAGAAGTCTTATTTAAGACATTTGAAACATCTTAAACTATCAGACAAGTTATTTTGCCAAGAATAGAAACGTCAGGTAACAGCAGCACTCACCCACCTTCGCTAACCAGCTCACTACTGTCTGACTGCTTACAAGAGATGATCTTCTCCACAAGTTGGTTGTAGCTGCAGTTACCAACAGCTTTGACAATGTCATCAATCTAGAAAACAAATGACTGTCTCACTAATCACGATAAGATTAGAAACAATAAGAAATGCATATGACTCTTTGGAATTTTTTCCTAATATAGTACTAAACATGAAAGTATTACTTATGAAAGAAAACCAGTACTAAGATCAATACCCAACAATTCCCAATTTTGTTTATAGCTCAGTATAACACATTATGAAAAATATTGCAGTTGTATTTCAATTATGTAAAAATTAATGAAATGGGATTATTACATGTAACTTCACTTCTTAAAGTTGTAAAGATGTATTTAAATGACTAAAATAAAATACAGATTATTTTAATAGAAAAATAAAAAATTTGCAGTTTTTTTAAAACTAAAAAATGTTACACACTTAAACCAAGGCAAATCTAAAAATACTGATTTATAGGATTAACAGAGTTCTTCCATTTTATTATTTAGTTCCTAGAAAAGTATAATGAAAATTATAAATATAAATATAAAAGTAAAATGAAAATATAACTCTCAGCCTCCCATAATTCATAGCTCACTGAAAATATAGAGAAAATTAATACTATTTTCCTGAAGAAAGGTAAATACATTTGTTAATTAGAGACAGTATTTGTCTCATGATTCTTACTTAATCATTGTAGGTTTAGAGGTTCAGCAGAAGAGTAAATTTAAACTTTTAAGCTATAGGAAAATAAAACTGGGCTTCTATTTAACTTCCATTATACTTTGCTTTGACTATTGAAGAAAAAGGGTTCTTCTGTCTAAACAATTCAGTTGGTTGCTTTTTAATCCCTAAAAGTATATTTACATTTATAAACTATATGTATTACTGTATTATTATGTTACATACATAAAACAAAAATACAAATAAAATAAATAAAAATAAGAAGGTCAATGTTTTATTTCTACATCCAAATGACATTGTAAATACTTAACTCTTTGAATACGAAGTCTCAACATCTATCTGCCCAACTAATTTTATGGAAATTTTTTTTGAGACTAAGTCTCACTCTATTGCCCAGCCTAGCTCACAACAACCTCAAATTCCTGAGCTCAAGTGGTATTAGCCTAGCTCACAACAACCTCAAATTCCTGAGCTCAAGTGATCCTTCTGTTTTAGACTCCTGAGTAGCTGAGACTATAGGCACCTGCCACAACGCCCAGCTAATTCTTCTATTTTTTAGTAGAGATAGATAGGGTCTCACTCTTGATCAGGCTGATGTCAAACTCTTGGGCTCAAGCAATCCTCCTGCCTTGATCTCCCAGAGTGCTAGGATTACAGGCATGAGCCACCAGGACTGGCCATACATTTTTAGAAAGAGGATCTCAATGTAGTGGCTATTCACAGGCACAATCATAATTCATAGCTCACTGCAATCTCAAACTCCTAGTCTCATGAGACCACCTCTGTCATTTTAAAAACCCTTTCAAAGAATTTACCTTTGTTGATTTTTTTTGGGGGGGGGGAACAGAGTCTTACTATGTCACCCTCGGTAGAGTGCTAAGATGTCACAGCTCACAGCAACCTCAAACTTTTGGGCTTAAGCACTTCTCTTGTCTCAGCCTCCCAAGTGGCTGGGACTCTAGGTGCCTGCCATAACACTTGGCTATTTTTTGTTGCAGTTGTCATTGTTGTGTAGCTGGCCCAGGCCAGGTTCAAACCTGCCAGCCTCGATGTATGTGGCTGGCATCATAACCATTGTGCTACAGGTACCGAGCCCTTTTGTTGATTTTTATTGTACATGTGCTTTCTATTTTCATACTTAGCGTTTTTTTCTTTGAGACAGAGTCTCACTATGTCGCCCTTGGTAGGGTGCCATGGTAACATAGCTCACAGCAACCTCAAACTCTTGGGCTTACGTGATTGTCTTGCCTCAGCCTCCTAAGTAGCTGGGACCACAGGCGCCTGCTACAAAACCCAGCTATTTTTTTGTTGTAGTTGTCATTGTTTAGCTGGCCCGGGCTCGGTTCGAACCTGCCAGGCTGGGTGTATGTGGCCAGTGCAGTAACCACTGTGCTACAGGTGGCAAGCTCTTACTGTTTTTTTCTTAAGATGGATAGATCTCTCATTAATTTTTTTCTTTAAAATACAAATTTGAGGCCAGGTATAGTGACTCATGCCTGTAATTCCAGCACTCTAGGAGGCTGAGGTGGGTGGATTGCTTAAGCTCACGATTTCAAGACCAGCCTCAGAAAGACTGAGACCTTATCTTTAAAAAAATAGCCAGGCATTGTGGTAGATGTCTATAGTCCCAGCTACTTGGGAGGCTGAGGCAAGAAGATCGCTTGAGCCCAAGAGTTGGAGATTGCTATGAGCTATGATGCCATGGCACTCTACTGGGGTGCAAGAAAGTAGGACTATCTCAAAATGAATTTGAAGCTTAAGAATCCTTTTGTTTTAGCTATATTCCAGAAACTTTGATATTAATTTAGTTATTTTGTAATTTTAAATATATTTTAAGTTTTGTTATGATTTTTTTTAACCCAAGAAAAATTGGGTTAATTATTGTTTTTGTATTGATTTCTAGATTAATTGCACTGTAGTCACAGAATATCCTATACCCTGTATGTTTTAAATCCTTGGAAATTTGTTGAAATGTGCTAGTTGAAAAATTAGATAAATTTTTAGAAATTTCCTGGATGCACATAAAGAATGCATATGCATGGTCGTTAAATACTAAGAAAGATAAGAAAATGTCATGGACTAGAGGAGATTAGGAAGACATGATGATTAAATACAATGTGATAGATACCCTGGATTCTAGAACAACATCAACAAAAACCATTATTGGAGAAGTAGTGAAATCTGAATACAGACTGTATTTGATAATAGTAAGGTACCAATACTAAATTTTTTAGTTTTGGATACATGTACCATGGTCATGTAAGATGGTAACATTCGAAAAATCTGAATAAAGAGTATGATATCTTTGCATCTTTCCTATAGATCTGAAATCATTCCTAAAAATAGTTTATTAATTTAAAGAACATGGCTGGTTGCTGTTGCTAACACCTAATAATCCTAGCATTCTGGAAGGCTGAGGTGTGAGGATCACCTGAGGCCAAGAGTTTGAGACCAGCCTGAGTAAGAGCAAGACTTTGTTTCTATAAATAAATGGAAAAATTAAGTGGACATGGTAATGCATGCCTATAGTCCCAGCTACTTGGGAGGCTGAAGATAGGAGTTTGAGGTTGAGGTTACAGTGATCTATGATGATACTATTTCACTCTATAGTGGGTAACAAAGCAAGACCTAGTGTCAAAAAAAAAAGTATGTTTTTTAGGTTTCCTACTTCTTATTCTAGTGTTCTACAATTACAGAGAAAGGTATACCTCCACTGTGACCATCTACTTCTGGTACTTTTGTTGAATTGTTTATGTATTTTGAGATTATGTTATTAGATACCTAAAATCTTGGTATTTATTGTCAAAAACTGATCTTTACTTGCTTGTAGCAGTTTCCATAGGCCCAAGGAACAAGTAATCAGGATAGCTTCTTTCCAAGTGTCTCCAGAAACATACAAATTTAAAACTACTATATCTTCTTGGCAAATTAAACATTCTATCATTAGTAATGCTTTCTGACTGAAGTTTCTTC